TTTGTAAAAAAACACGGTGGTAGTATTGTAAATGAAAAACTAGGTGACAAATTGGTAAATAAAAAACCAGAAAACCCTTACATCGGGCCTTACGAACCACCGATGTAAAAAATCAGAAAACCCTTACATCGGGCATTGTGTTCCACCGATGTAAAAAACAACCATTACACCGGTTATTGATTAGAACCGATGTAAAAACATGATTCTGAAATAATCATTACATCGGTTAATGATTTCCACCGATGTAAAAACTATAATATATATTTAAGAAATAAACCCTCACTGCTGTACATTTCGTTATTTTCTCTTCAAAACCCTCTGCTCCGCCTACAAACGACTTCTGCCCCCCGCTCCGCCTACACACTCTGTATGTCTGTCTCCGCCCTCTGCTCCGCCTACATCGTTCGTCCGTCTCCGCTACGAACGCCATCCGCCCTCCGTCCATCTCCACCTACGAACGTCCGTCACTTTCCACCGTTTTTTGCCGTGCACGAAGACGGCCTCGATCTCCGGCCGTCACAGCCTGTTGCCGTCTTCGAAACCCCCTCTGTTGTCCAACTACGATTCCAGTAAGAAATTTTCTATTTTGTTCAACTTCATTGTATATCTATGGATTTCTAAGAGGTATATATACAAAAAAAAATTTTAAAGATATTCTTGTTGCTTTGCTTTCTACTGAGATACATTATAAAAAATTAGAAGTACATGTAAAAACAATTAGAAGATTATACTAGATACTAACTCAGTGGCTTGGTGAATCCATTCCTTTGTTCATATTTGTTTTTTAATTACTAAATAGTTTATTATTCTTAGAGAGGTTAATTAAGTCTAATTAGTTATAAATAGTATATATTTTATATAGAGTTAAGAATATGATACATGTTGTGTATATGTCATTCTTTTTCATTAGAGAAATTGTCTCCTTAGAAACCTCTGAAAGAAACGTTAATGGTCCTCTCAGAAACACACGGTTTATCTTTAACCTATCAAACTTAATAGAGTTATCACCTTGCCATTGAAATTTGATTCTATTTTTCTTTCTCCGCGAAGCAGCGCAACTTGTGATCTCGGAATCTCTGTGAAGTAGCGCAGTCGCGGGCACACCCTTCGTCAGACCTTCCTCCGTGTGAACATAGTTATGGATCGTAGTTGGATGAGAGCTAATCGATTAAGTGACGAGTACGAACATGGAGTGATGTAATTTCTACAGTTTGCTGAAAGTAATGCTGAAAAAAGTCTTCCTGCGCTTTTTCTCTGTCCATGTGTTCGTTGTGCAAATAAAGAACCAAAACGTAGTAAGAAAGAAATCATGGATCATCTAATTTGTGTAGGGATTTGTCAAAGTTATACATAATGGAAATGACACGGTGAAGTAGTAGCAAAGTCAAATGTGTCTCAAAGAGATGATGTTAGTGTAGAAATGGATGATCGTCTAGAAGACTAAGTTGTGGCAAAATGTTTCTTTGAGTTATATAAAAATTAAGCTTTATCGGGTGAGTTTTATAGAATTGTCTAAGTTGTGGTTTTTGCACATAATTGTTATTATTGAGTTTTTGCACATTACATGTGGTTTTTGCACATGTATTGAGTTTCTTGATATTTTTTGCTGATGTTAATTATTATTATTTATTGTCAGGCAATGTGATTTTGGTGTTGTCTATCGAAGCTATAACTCATCTACTTGTGGATTTTATATTGGTAATTCAAGTTTGGAAAAAGACTTATAAATAGTTGAATATTTTTGTATGTTTTGTGAAGAATATATATTTGTAAGTTTGCTGTGAGTTTGTTTGTTGTGATACAATTCAAGTTTGCAATACAATTATTCATTTTGTAAGTTTGTTGTGAAAAATATGACATATATGGTCTATATATATATATATATATATATATATATATATATATATATATATATATATATATATATATATATATATATATATATATATATATATATATATATATATATATATATATATATATATATATATATATATATATATATATATATATATATATATATATATATATATATATATATATATATATATATATATATATATATATATATATATATATATATATATATATATATATATATATATATATATATAACGACCTAAATGTGGTCTATGTGATGTTGGAAAACTATGACATATATATAGCGATCTAAATATAGTCTATGTGATATTGGAAAAATATGAAAAAATGGGTACCAATTTTTTTTTACAGGAAATCATCCAGAAAATAAATAATTTATTAAAAAAAAATTGCTTACATTTTACATCGGTCATTACTTCCAACCGATGTAAAAACTGTCAAAATTGTATCTATTACATCGGGCATAATGCACAACTGATATAAAAATGGTATATTTTACATCGATCCACACGGTCCACCGATGTAAAATGTTGCGTCAATTTTTTTATAAATAATGTTATAATTGTTTTTTAAATCAGGCTTAGCTTATAACCGATGTGTTAACTTTCTTTTTCACATCGGACCCAGAACCGATATAAAAGTCCCTGATTTACTATATCGCCTGACTTTACATCAGACCCAAAATCGATGTAAAAAGTCAATTTCGCCCGATGTAAAAAGTCATTTCTGCACTAGTGATTTTATGTTTCAATCACCACCAACCAACACCACTAGCCAATATACACATTAAATGGGTACCAACGATGTTGTAGAGTCTACTAATGTTGAATGAGAATCACCAATTGGGTCCACTACAAATTCTCAAGTGACAATGTTCTCCATTCAGGATGGTCTAGGAAATATTACTTTTGCAGAAGAAGGAGAACGTTCAACTCAAAAAAAACTGCGTGCCATGTTCTTAGAAGAAGAAGATAAATTACTTATTCAAACATGGCTTAACATTTCCAAAGATTCATTTGTAGGAGTTAACCAAAAAGCAGATAGTTTTTGGAGTAGAATCAAATATGGCTATAACAACTATCATGGACCACTTATAGTGAGAGAGTGGTATACACTCAAATCTCGATGGCATCTATTGAATATACATTGTCAATGGTTTTATGGTAGATACAAACTAGATGTTGTTAATAAGAAAAGTGGACGGCCTGAGACCGACGTCATGGATGAGGCACGTAAAATTTTTGTACAAGTACGTCATCAACGTTTCACAATGGAGCACGCGTGGAGGTTGTTGAAGGATGAACCTAAATGGAAGGGACAAGTAATGAATAAATCTTCAACGAGATCAAAGATATCATCTACTGGGACATATTCATCAACGTCTAATCCAGAAAATCCCATAGATTGTTCAGAATACAACAGTGTAACTCAGACCGACCATCCAATAGGACAAAAGGCAACAAAAAGGAAGGGAAAGGGAAAAGCATCTCCATCTACAACACCCATAGTTGATTTGACTGACATGGAAAATGCCTCAGAGAAGAAATTAGTTATCTATGGTAAAATAGCTGAGACAAGGTTGGCATAGAGCATACCTATGTTGTATGAAATTCTTATGAAGGACAAATCGACAATGGATGATGAACAACGTCGAGAGCATGAAGAAATTTGTCAAAGTATCAAGGAGAAGTACTTTAAGAGAAAGTTAGGTGTATTATTATTATTGTTATTATTATTATTATTATTATTGTTGTTGTTGTTGTTGTTATTATTATTGGTTATGTTTAAATATGTATTTCATATTATTGTAATTTTGTTCTAAATGATTGTAATTTTAATTTTGTATCTATATTTCAAATTAGTTATGAAAAACTATTCGTTGTAAAACTAGTCGTTGTAAAACTAGCCGTTATAAAACTAGTTGTTGTAAAAGTAGCCGTTGTAAAACTAGTCTTTGTAGATGTTGTAAAAGTACCCGTCGTAAAAACCATCCTATATATAACTCACATGTTCTCTCATTCTATTACCATTAGAATATCTTCAATGGATCCAAATGTTGAATGAGATAATATCTGGAATGAAGTCGTAGATGATTGCCTTAACGACAACACTGAGGAAGAGGAGATAAGATTAGTACGAGAGGCACAACAACAACCTAACAGTAAAAGTAAGCATAGAAAAAGAAGAATAGTAATAGGCCGAAGTCTTGAAGAAGGGCATAATCGATTGCTCAGGGACTACTTCTCTGAAAATTATGTATACACAAAGGCTCAATTCAGAAGAAGGTTTCGTATAAGAAGACATGTGTTCCTTCGCATTGTTGAAGCTCTTGGAAATCATGATGAGTACTTTCAAAGAAGGATTGATGCAATGGGTAGAATGGGACTTTCACTATTGTAGAAGTGCACCGCTGCTATTCGTATTCTAGCATATGGATCACCAGCTGACACTGTGGATGACTATATTTGCATTGGTGAAAGCATAACTTTGGAGTGCTTAGACAGGTTTGTAATGGGTGTTTGCACAATATTTGGTGCTCAATACATGAGAAGGACAAATAATGAAGAAATTGCACGTCTACTACAAATTAATGCGACACACGGCTTTCCAAGTATGTTGGGTTCAATTGATTATATGTATTGGGAATGGAAAATTTGTCTTGTCGCATGGAAAGGTCAATTTTCTAGAGGTGATCATGGTAAATCCACAATCATGCTTGAAGATGTGGCATCTCAAGACTTGTGGATTTGGCATGCATATTTTGGCACCGTATGTTCTAACAACGACATTAATGTGTTAAACATGTCTGATGTGTTTAATGATGTTTTGAATGGAAAAACTCCTCCAGTACAATACACGGTGAATCAGATAACATATCATATGGGGTACTATCTAGCAGATGACATTTATTCTGAGTGGACAACATTTGTCAAGACCATCCCTATGCCACAAGGAGAAAAGAGAAAGTTATTTGTCCAACGACAAGAATTAGCACGGAAGGATGTTGAACGAACATTTGGAGTGCTCAAAGCCTGATTCTCTATTGTTCATGGTCCAGCGCGTGCTTGGCATGTAAATACAATAAACCACATAATGTTAGCATGTATATATTGCATAACATGATTGTCGAAGACGAGCGAGACACATATGCTGATAATTTTGATTACGACCACATTAATAATAATTTATCCACAATTGAAATATCTACTGGTCCTGATCCCAATTTAACAATATTGTTTAAAAAGATATCACATGTTCATCAAAGGAAAAATCATCGCCAACTTCAAGCAGACTTGGTGGAGCATATTTGGGAGAGATTTGGTCATGAGAATAACGAAAGTTAATTTTTGTCTTATTTTATATTTCGGTTAAAATGTAATTTATTACTTATTTTCATGTATTATTTTATATTCTCATAAAAATGTAATTTTTAATATATTATTATTGTACATTTTACTTCATTTTAATTTTTTATATATATATATATATATATATATATATATATATATATATATATATATATATATATATATATATATATATATATATATATATATATATATATATATATATATATATATATATATATATATATATATATATATATATATATATATATATATATATATATATATTAAAATGAAGCAAAATGCACAATAATAATACAAGAAATAATAGGTCAAATTTATTAAAATATTTTTTTTGCATTTTAAAAATTAATATGTTTTTTGTAAAAAAAAATATAATATTTTTATGCATTTTAATTAAAATAGTTTTAATTTGAATAAAAAATAATTAAAAATAAAAAAAGTATAAAATGTGGTATCAAATTTTGGTTCTTTATAAATGATCATACCTGACCAAAATGGACCGTCACAGCTTACGTCGAGCAGAACTTGAGAGTGAGGTGGGGGAGGGGGGGGGGGGGGGTATCTGCAAGACACTCTGACACCAAAGTAAGATTCGGAATGAGCAAGCAAGTAAGAGAGTAAGAAATGTTCAATACCCGACCCTCTCGAAAGTGAGGGTATTTATAGCCCGCAATGCTGGACCAACGTCTCCTTATTGGGCTGGTCAAGCAGGCCCAAAGTGGAGACTGTCAGGTCCTACGTGAGTAGTGGGGACCAGCACGTGGTCCCTCATCTGGATGACTTCCTCCGCAAGATCAAGAGGATATGGATGCGGTCTTTCCGGGACCACGAAGACTCCTTGATATTCAGAGACATTGATAGTCAGCCATACGAGGATGATGTTCGTGAGGTGCTTCTGCTCGTCGTGGATGCTCCCCGACAGACGCGAGGTTGTGTGAGGGGATCAGTCTTGATCACGGAGAGGATCGGAATATGACCTCGAGGTCCTCCTGACCGGCGATGATCTCCCTAAGACTACTTAGGTTTATCCCCGTGTGATCTGATTGCCTCCTTGTGGGGAGTGAAAGTTGCTGCCCAACGCAGTTAAGGACAAAACTAGCCAATATATCTTGACCGACATAATTGGATTAGGCTTCACATGGAGTTCGACCAAAAACAGATTCAATCCAAAATAATAAGCGACCACATTAAAATAAAAACTACTTAAATTAATTATAAAGATTTTAAATCCTACAAATCACTTTGAGTCTACAAAAAAAATATTTTAATTTATCTACTTAATTTACTTCCACTAAAAATGTTCTAAGAAAACATAAAAGTGCATAAAAAAAAACCCTAAAAAAAATTGTCTAGGAAAAAACGGATCTGTCCCAATCAGACGGTTCCGTTTTGCCCAGCTGATTAGAAAGAATTGTTTTCTATAGTTATCTAATTCAATATAAAACCAATGCAAGTTGTTGAAATATTTTTACACAGGACTGTACTAAAATATGTTGGAGTAGCTTTAAAATTGATAAGGTCAGATTTGGGAGCAGCTTAAGGACATAAAATGTTGTCATTTTGTCAACCTAATTGGAATCCAAAGTCAAGGTGAGTGTGACAAATGCTGCAGTAATTCACTGTTGCTTTCATTAAATAGTGACCAAATTTTCTTACTTTTTCTCTGCCATGGTTTTTTTTTTGTCTTCTGGTTGAGAATTTGAATTGGATAGTTAAGCATCTGTATGAACAGAACAATACAATATTATTGGTGCGGTTTTCCCCACTTGCTACTAAAAAACATGAAATGTTTTTGGAAAATATGTATCCAAACGGCTAGGGAATCAAATTCATTATGTGATGTTGGATAAAAATATGCAATATTTATTACAGTATGGTTGGATAATTTGATAAAAATGAGGTGATATGTTTCCCAATTCCCAGTATGGATATTTTGGAATCCACTCAATTTCGTAAGAAATATATTAAATTAATGTGTAGTTTTTAAAATTATTTTAAAGTTTAAATGTTTGGTTTTGATAATTTTTTAGTTTCATTTAAAAAAAAATCATTTTTTTATTTTTAGTATTAGATTTGATGTTTTTTCTCCTTTCATAGACTCATTTATATAGGTGATATTAAAATTTATGAGTTGAGAAGTTTTTAATGTTGTCACGTAGTTAAAATTTAACAAATTTATTTATTTTTAAAAATTAATTTAAATAATTATTTTTTCATTTAAAATTTAAAATAACTATTTATTAATAGAATCATGATGTAAAAGTCCATCGTCTTCATCTTTTGAGTTCTTCTTCATCTTTTTTTCGAAACTCTAAAAAATCGATATCTCTCAAAATGTTACGTTTTCCGTCGATTTGAGCTACACAATTGCTAGTCATCATGTCCCAATGCTCTAAATCTAGTTATCGAAAGTCTTCACGTTCATTTTAGGATTAGTGCAAATGTAGTTTGAAATCTCCATTGATGACATTTTGGACAGATTCGAACTCAGGTCGTTGTTTATATGATTGTGGGATGTTTAAGGTATTACTTTATTTGTATTTTTTTATTTTCTACGTGTTTTCATGTTTTTTCAAATTTCTCATATTATTATGTAATTCCAACTGCATGATTATAAGAGGTGTAACTATTTTTTCTGATAAGATGAAGAAATATCTCAAAGACTCAAGGATGTAATCTCTTCTCTGCACCAGAAATTAAGTGAAGAAAAAGTGAAATTGAATGATGCCAAGAAAAAAGAGGAGGAAATGAAGATTAAGATGAAGTTTATGAATATGATGATGAAATTTAGCATGTCCGCCACTTTTGTATTGTTAATTGGATTAGTTATGTGTAATGTAATGAAGTAGTTAATTGAAATTAGATTATGTGTAATGTAATGTAATACAAAATTATGACAGTTTGTAACATTTTAATGTTGAATGAAGATGTTAAATTACTCTTGGTTTCGACAGTTTGACAAAGTTGCAGCATACAGCCGAATGTTACTCACATGCTGGTGTCGAAGTATTGTATGCTGTAGTTGAAGAAGGATCAAGCATGCAGTGGTCGAAGAATGCTAGGATTGTTAGCATCGAATTTGGCCTGTTTGTTATGTCTAATTGTTTAAGTTAGTTTGTACCCTAAGTTAACTTGTAACAGATGTTTGTGAAAAAAGCCCATTAGTTTAATATGTTAGGTTTATTATAAATAACATACTAGTCTCTCATCATTGCATACTGCAAATCCTAATTTAGGGTGAGAGGATTATTTGTTATTTTTGAGTACTTGTAATCTTGTTTGAAGAGAAAGTAAAGAATAACAGTTAATAACCAATTCCCTGTGTTCTTCTTGATTTTTCTATCTTTTCAATCCTAATTGTTTCTTGATCGTTAAAAACAAGTTTATACTTTATTTCGAGGTATCTTTTTTCACAACAAATTGGTGTGGTGAGCGTGAAGAAGATGCCTTCAACAAAGTATGAGATTGAAAATTTCACCGGAGTGAATGATTTCGGTCTGTGGCGCTTGAAGATGAATGCCCAACTGGTTTAGCAGGGTTGTTTGGAAGCGTTGAAGGGAGAAGCAACCATAAACGTTGCATTAACGATAATTGAGAAGACGAAGATGATAGAGAAGGCCCACAATGCAATCTTGTTGAGCCTTGGTGATAAGGTTCTTTGACAGGTATCAAAGGAGACGACGAAGGCAAGGTTATGGGTGAATTTTGAAAGTTTGTACATGACCAAATCACTGGTAAATCGACTCTACCTGAAGCAAGCTTTGTATTCATTCAAGATGATTGAATACAAAGTGTTAGCTGAGCACTTGCATATGTTCAACAAGCTGGTTCTTGATCTTGAAAATATTGATGTGAAGATCGATGATGAAGATCAAATGCTGTTGTTGTTGTGCACTTTACCCAAATCACATGCTCACTTAAAAGAAACTCTCTTGTATGGAAGGGAGTCCCTGAGCTTGGAAGAAGTTCAATCAGCCTTGTATTCGAAGGACTTGAACGAATGAAAGGAGCATAAACCTTCGACGGTTGGTGAAGGTTTGGCTGTTAAAGGAAAATTCTTACGAAAGGATGGTAAGTTCGATAAGAAGAAGGGTAAAATGCAGTCGAAGTCTTATAGTGGCGAGGCATCTGGTATTTGATGCTATCACTGTAAGAAGGAAGGTCATACAAGAAAAGTGTGTCCCGAAAGCCTGGAAGATCATGGAGGAAAGGATAATGGCAACACAACTATTGTTCAAGATAATTTCGACTCATCTGATGTTCTTGTGGTTTCGAACAACAACTCGTCAAAGGAGTGGATTATGGATTCTGGGTGCACTTGGCACATGACTCCAAACAAAGACTTGTTCAAAGACTTATGTGACCAAGATGGTGGATATGTATTACTGGAAAATAACAAAGCTTGCAATATTGCAGGTGCTGGATCTGTGAGATTCAAGCTCCATAATGAGTCAATAAGGCTGTTGACTGAAGTCGGGTATGTACCTGATTTGAAGAGAAATTTGATTTCTCTTGGTGAATTCGACAAGAAAGTATATGTTTTACAAGGAGAGAAAAACATCCTAAGAGTCATGAATAGTTCGAAGGAAGTCTTAAGAGGCGTGAAGAAACAAGGCTTGGTACCCTTGAGGCTGAAGTTGTAAGTGGTTCGGCAAATATTGCATCCATGAAACCTTTATCGAAGACATAAATTTGGCACATGAGATTAGGCCACGTCAGTGAAATGGGTCTGGTCGAATTAGGGAAACAAAATTTTCTTGGTGGGGACAAAGTCGAAAAGCTAAAATTTTGTGATCCCTGTGTATTTAGAAAATCTTGCAGAGTGAAGTTCAACAAAGGTAAACAAAGAACACATGGATCCCTTGATTACATCCATGCTGATCTTTGGGGTCCTGCAAGGTGTCCATCACATTCAAGAGCAAGGTATTTTTTATCCATACTAGATGATTATTCCATAAAGTTATAGATATTCA